ATGAAATTGGTAGGCCGAAAAGCAAATTTACTGGGATTGGTGGGCGCGGAAGATGAACATAAGTCCGCCGGAAAACCCTACTTCCAAACCAGTCGTGCACATAGGCTTCAGGATCGTGAAGGAACAAATGACGTATGAACATAATCTCGGTCACCAGCCACCATGGGACTGCATCTCGACGTTGCCCCACTCTCTTGTGGATTAGACCTCTAGATCGAAGGCTCGGGGACTAACCCACACACAAATTTAATGGTAACCACTCTGTGCTGCGTATAAATATTTTGATGACCTCTTTGTGCCAATGTTCAGTCCTTTAAATAAATAAGTTAATTCAGGACAGCGGTAGGAAATTAGAAGTATAAGAACACAAAAACCGTTGTTTCAAAATGAAATAAAGATACGAACATAAAATTTTATTCTGAAGTACTATCAGGCCAGGCTAAAAACCACATTTGGGACAATTCGTTGTCCCAGAGTTGAAGCTTTACATCGTCTGTATTGCGATTTGGTTTACCTATCGACAGTTTGATAGGTAAACGTTCTTACCTAGTTTTAAATCTCAGATGGTCGTATACACCTGTTACTTTAGTCGACTAACTTACGACCGCACTTATAAATCGGTAGCTAATTACTCCTTTTATTATGTCATGTATTCACTATACAGAAATACTCATGAATATTTATCCTCATGTCACTTGAACTCGCAGTTTTTCCTTACTTGGTATTTAACTTTGTGTAGCATTATTCTATGTCTATTTGATTGCGGATATCACTGGTTATTTATTTCCTACACCGACCACAATACTCCATGTTTGTGCGAAGCGTGACATATATCCGGTATATCATGACTATATATGTCACTTAGAAGTCACAAGCCATTGGTTTTTATGATTCATTAGTGTATATATTCTGGTTGGATGCTAAGATGTCTGAAATTAATCCTCAAAAATCAATACAACTGTGCTTATCCTATCTTTTAAAACCCCAACATTCTGCCTTTTCACGTCAACACGTATCTAAGAGGTTTTAATTGTACTTGTGAGGTATTCTGTTTATTAATACTTGAAAATGTTTTGTCCAATTCTCTATTTTTTAAGACATGGTGACAATCAATCATGAAAGGTATGACAGGTCTCCTTTCATGGAGTCACGAAATTCCAGTCCTACTCGAAGATCTTATGGTGAAAATGCAGTTAGACATAATGCCGATTCCACACACAGAGGTTATGAAGTTAGTCGGCATTCTTACAAGGATAAACATGATATTAGTGAAAGTTATTCCAAATCAAAATCTCCATCTTTGTCAATTAGTCATAAAAATGAAGGTTGTCATCGTAAGACCAATGAATTTAATCATCATCAAACGCCAGAATTTTGGGAGCGACGTCGTAAAATGCGTGAGCGCGCTGGTGCTTCTGTAAACACACAGATATGGGAGTCAAACCCACCTAAAGAGGATTCTGATTCAGATAACGACCAGCATACAATTTCTGGACAAGCTTTCGGACCTAGTCTTCCAACAGATTTTAAAATACCAGACAACCGTGATACTCCTTATTCTCATAAAAAGCTCAGGCATAAGAACCACAGCCATCATCATCATCGGTCACATAAACATTCCAAAAGGCATAAAAAAGAAACAAAAAAGAGCAATAGACTCAAAAAACAAAAGCGGAAGAATAAACATGATAGTCGCACATCCTCTTCCTCATCATCTTCAGAATCTGAAGTAGATAGTGAAGATGAAAAGAAACAATTTATTAAACAAATGAAGGATAAGAAACGTGAATTAGAACGTAAACGTGCACAAGAGGAAGAGGAAGTAGAAGCTGTCGGCCCAATGTTACCTACTGCTGAACATTCCAGCTTAATTCCGTTAGACTATGGCCGAGCATTATTACCGGGCGAAGGTGCAGCAATGGCAGCTTATATTGCCGAAGGTAAACGTATACCACGACGTGGTGAAATCGGTCTAACCCCAGAAGAGATTGAATCGTTTGAAAAAGAGGGTTATGTCATGTCAGGTAGTCGTCATCGTCGTATGGAAGCTGTCCGTTTGCGTAAAGAGAACCAGATATACTCAGCCGATGAGAAACGTGCTTTAGAACATTTTAACCATGCTGAGCGTGCTAAACGTGAAGCAAAATTGCAGGCTCAATTTAAGGCATTGATTAAACGAAAGTTAGAAGACAAACAAGCTGCTCCTCCGCCAAGTTAAGAAAAGAATAAATTTTTCAATAACTGCTAACATATTTCAATTTCAGAGAGTTTTTTAAATCAATGTCTTGTATATAATTTAATTTCATGTACACTATAAAGTAGTTTCCTTGATCAACTAAAGAATTCAGCTGAATTGGACGATTACGGTTGTCATTCCATATGAACGTTATTTTTCATATTGGTAACTTTTTTAGTGTGCAATTTGACAATCAAATTGTCAGTAATGATGTACATAAACTGAACTAATTAATTGCCTTGTCGTGTATATAGTAGAAATGTACTATATATTTTCAATTGAAATAGTTTTGACTTGCTTACTTTTTATGCAAAAGTTTCTTGAAATTACTTGGTATTGGATTTGGGATAGCCTTAATAAAGTATGTGTATACAAATTTACTAGTCACAATAATAAAAGAAAGCAATGAGATTTGTAAAATGATCCTAATATTGAAGATAGTAAGACCAGAAATTGAAAATATAATAATAATAATATAGTACAATCAAAATCGAAAAATATAAAGTTTGAAATAGTAATGTTACTTAAGATTTATGTGGAGATAGAAAATGAATGCAATTACGCCAGTGGAAGTGATTTGAATAATAATGACTCAAACCAACAGCCAATGATTCCGTGAATTGATGGCATGTGTCAGTTTACCAATCTGTAATCATCTTCCAAATTGCTCCTGTGCATATCTGAGTAGGCAACAAATGCCCGTGTTAGGTAGCTCTCAGTTACCTCAATCACTTATATTATTATAATTCACTTCACAACTAATGACGTAATATTATCTGGTTATAGTTGCTGGGCTGATTGTGTCGACCATATTTGTACAACTTGTGGTCGTTTTCTAGATAGAGACCTGAAGCTTATTGCCTACAAAATAACCAATAACTTTTAATTTATGTGGAGCGTTAGTGTGAGGAATGTTTGTAGTGTACCTCCTGTGTTACAAAGATTGGTTCTACAGATAACACACTAGTAGGTTTATACAGTCTCTATAGTACTAATAAACACTTAGAAACTCACTCTAGTGGGAACAAGATATGGAGGAGATAGAGTGGGATTCAATTGTGAGGCAATATGGAATAGGTAGAGGCGATTTATAGCAGTAGATCAGATTTAGTGAGCGGATAATCTTACCAGAAATCAAGCGACTATTATAATGATGATCAGAATACTGAGAGAGACGACTAAGTAGTTTTTCTTCTTGTTTTTTTTGTGGTAATTCGCAAGATACACGCGTTATATCTTCTGATTTCTGCTTATGTTGGTCGACACAAGGCGTAACTTACCAGCTGAATTCCTGGTTAATGTGGCATTTTAGTCTTCGCTCAACTATCGCCGTAGTATCCTTACAATCAAAGCTAGCGGTTATCAGCCTTTTAATAGGTTACTAGTTTACCATCTGAACTTCTTACGAGTGCATCTGGACACCTGTTATCTTGATTTCAGTTAAGTGTTGAACGTTTACCTCAGGTTTTAAAAACAGACGTATATATTCCTGTTCTGGAATATAATACTTGATACCATTCTGTTACTTGTTGATTAGGCAATTAAGTATTCATTTTTGGAACATGTCACAACCAATTAGTAGAATCTCAAAACTCTGACGTAGTTGTGAGTTCTTCAATTTGTTGGTGCCGTACAGACAAACTGTTCTTGTATCTGTTTCTTTACCATTATGGATTTGGATAAACTATTAACATGATATGAAATTGGTAGGCCGAAAAGCAAATTTACTGGGATTGGTGGGCGCGGAAGATGAACATAAGTCCGCCGGAAAACCCTACTTCCAAACCAGTCGTGCACATAGGCTTCAGGATCGTGAAGGAACAAATGACGTATGAACATAATCTCGGTCACCAGCCACCATGGGACTGCATCTCGACGTTGCCCCACTCTCTTGTGGATTAGACCTCTAGATCGAAGGCTCGGGGACTAACCCACACACAAATTTAATGGTAACCACTCTGTGCTGCGTATAAATATTTTGATGACCTCTTTGTGCCAATGTTCAGTCCTTTAAATAAATAAGTTAATTCAGGACAGCGGTAGGAAATTAGAAGTATAAGAACACAAAAACCGTTGTTTCAAAATGAAATAAAGATACGAACATAAAATTTTATTCTGAAGTACTATCAGGCCAGGCTAAAAACCACATTTGGGACAATTCGTTGTCCCAGAGTTGAAGCTTTACATCGTCTGTATTGCGATTTGGTTTACCTATCGACAGTTTGATAGGTAAACGTTCTTACCTAGTTTTAAATCTCAGATGGTCGTATACACCTGTTACTTTAGTCGACTAACTTACGACCGCACTTATAAATCGGTAGCTAATTACTCCTTTTATTATGTCATGTATTCACTATACAGAAATACTCATGAATATTTATCCTCATGTCACTTGAACTCGCAGTTTTTCCTTACTTGGTATTTAACTTTGTGTAGCATTATTCTATGTCTATTTGATTGCGGATATCACTGGTTATTTATTTCCTACACCGACCACAATACTCCATGTTTGTGCGAAGCGTGACATATATCCGGTATATCATGACTATATATGTCACTTAGAAGTCACAAGCCATTGGTTTTTATGATTCATTAGTGTATATATTCTGGTTGGATGCTAAGATGTCTGAAATTAATCCTCAAAAATCAATACAACTGTGCTTATCCTATCTTTTAAAACCCCAACATTCTGCCTTTTCACGTCAACACGTATCTAAGAGGTTTTAATTGTACTTGTGAGGTATTCTGTTTATTAATACTTGAAAATGTTTTGTCCAATTCTCTATTTTTTAAGACATGGTGACAATCAATCATGAAAGGTATGACAGGTCTCCTTTCATGGAGTCACGAAATTCCAGTCCTACTCGAAGATCTTATGGTGAAAATGCAGTTAGACATAATGCCGATTCCACACACAGAGGTTATGAAGTTAGTCGGCATTCTTACAAGGATAAACATGATATTAGTGAAAGTTATTCCAAATCAAAATCTCCATCTTTGTCAATTAGTCATAAAAATGAAGGTTGTCATCGTAAGACCAATGAATTTAATCATCATCAAACGCCAGAATTTTGGGAGCGACGTCGTAAAATGCGTGAGCGCGCTGGTGCTTCTGTAAACACACAGATATGGGAGTCAAACCCACCTAAAGAGGATTCTGATTCAGATAACGACCAGCATACAATTTCTGGACAAGCTTTCGGACCTAGTCTTCCAACAGATTTTAAAATACCAGACAACCGTGATACTCCTTATTCTCATAAAAAGCTCAGGCATAAGAACCACAGCCATCATCATCATCGGTCACATAAACATTCCAAAAGGCATAAAAAAGAAACAAAAAAGAGCAATAGACTCAAAAAACAAAAGCGGAAGAATAAACATGATAGTCGCACATCCTCTTCCTCATCATCTTCAGAATCTGAAGTAGATAGTGAAGATGAAAAGAAACAATTTATTAAACAAATGAAGGATAAGAAACGTGAATTAGAACGTAAACGTGCACAAGAGGAAGAGGAAGTAGAAGCTGTCGGCCCAATGTTACCTACTGCTGAACATTCCAGCTTAATTCCGTTAGACTATGGCCGAGCATTATTACCGGGCGAAGGTGCAGCAATGGCAGCTTATATTGCCGAAGGTAAACGTATACCACGACGTGGTGAAATCGGTCTAACCCCAGAAGAGATTGAATCGTTTGAAAAAGAGGGTTATGTCATGTCAGGTAGTCGTCATCGTCGTATGGAAGCTGTCCGTTTGCGTAAAGAGAACCAGATATACTCAGCCGATGAGAAACGTGCTTTAGAACATTTTAACCATGCTGAGCGTGCTAAACGTGAAGCAAAATTGCAGGCTCAATTTAAGGCATTGATTAAACGAAAGTTAGAAGACAAACAAGCTGCTCCTCCGCCAAGTTAAGAAAAGAATAAATTTTTCAATAACTGCTAACATATTTCAATTTCAGAGAGTTTTTTAAATCAATGTCTTGTATATAATTTAATTTCATGTACACTATAAAGTAGTTTCCTTGATCAACTAAAGAATTCAGCTGAATTGGACGATTACGGTTGTCATTCCATATGAACGTTATTTTTCATATTGGTAACTTTTTTAGTGTGCAATTTGACAATCAAATTGTCAGTAATGATGTACATAAACTGAACTAATTAATTGCCTTGTCGTGTATATAGTAGAAATGTACTATATATTTTCAATTGAAATAGTTTTGACTTGCTTACTTTTTATGCAAAAGTTTCTTGAAATTACTTGGTATTGGATTTGGGATAGCCTTAATAAAGTATGTGTATACAAATTTACTAGTCACAATAATAAAAGAAAGCAATGAGATTTGTAAAATGATCCTAATATTGAAGATAGTAAGACCAGAAATTGAAAATATAATAATAATAATATAGTACAATCAAAATCGAAAAATATAAAGTTTGAAATAGTAATGTTACTTAAGATTTATGTGGAGATAGAAAATGAATGCAATTACGCCAGTGGAAGTGATTTGAATAATAATGACTCAAACCAACAGCCAATGATTCCGTGAATTGATGGCATGTGTCAGTTTACCAATCTGTAATCATCTTCCAAATTGCTCCTGTGCATATCTGAGTAGGCAACAAATGCCCGTGTTAGGTAGCTCTCAGTTACCTCAATCACTTATATTATTATAATTCACTTCACAACTAATGACGTAATATTATCTGGTTATAGTTGCTGGGCTGATTGTGTCGACCATATTTGTACAACTTGTGGTCGTTTTCTAGATAGAGACCTGAAGCTTATTGCCTACAAAATAACCAATAACTTTTAATTTATGTGGAGCGTTAGTGTGAGGAATGTTTGTAGTGTACCTCCTGTGTTACAAAGATTGGTTCTACAGATAACACACTAGTAGGTTTATACAGTCTCTATAGTACTAATAAACACTTAGAAACTCACTCTAGTGGGAACAAGATATGGAGGAGATAGAGTGG